ATAGTTTTTGTAATGGTATATTAAGAGAAATGGCATGTCACTTTGTTTCAATTTCACTGGGAAATAAATATGTAAAACTGGAACAAACGCAGATACACTTGAGTAGAACTATTTCATTGTCATAATCACAGAATATTTTGGAGCCTAATCCATTTTCTCTCAAATAAATTCATATTGAAATTGTTTCTGGCAATATATTTCTCAATGTCATATACGTCTTTTAATAACCCTTTATATGTGTGGTGAAACTTCCCTTGATATTCCTGACAAAAATGTGGCGCCTGGCTAGTATGTTCATATGGTTGAGCAAGGGGTCGCTATTGGCACAAAACAGTATATCTTGAACTGAGAGTACGAATGTTCTGTGCAGGACACAATTAACAAAACCGGTGAATTCTTTCCAGAATAATCTAATGGTGGGACTTTCAATATATACATGATAAATATTCTCACTTACGTCGCATAATATACATATGTCATTATCAACTAGATGTAGTGACATTTTAATGTATAAATAACTCTATGAATAAATTTGTATTGAAAATCCAAAAGCTTTGGGTCTTTAATGGTTAGTCTATATTGCACAAATATGGTCTTAAAATCGATATGATCGTTTTACTTCACTTTCCATTTATCGCATACGTTTGGAAAATTGGATTTCGATATGAAACTATGTCGGCTGATCTAGATCCTTTAGTGGGTTTAATAAGATCATTCCAAAGGGAACTTATCGATACATTTGTTATGTTTGGGTGTCCAGCAGTTTGAATGACTTCTTTCCATTTTGGGGGAATACTGACGATGAAACGATTTATGTCAAGTACTGTGCCCTTAATATCAAATTTTGTTGTAAGTTCTGCAAATGAGAGTACCTCTTAGTCATTGAAAATGTCTTTAATATTAACAATTCCTTGTTTGAACCAGTTATTGATTATCAAATATGTGTTGCGAAACTGGTGATTTAACCAGAGGTTGCATAACAATTTCGTTTATGTTGATATGATTCACTAATATAAATCAACACATTTGGGAAAAAAAATCAGACATTTTGGTTGTTTCTTCTCAGTTGACGATTCGAGAGCGATTTTCTCAGGACACTTTCTAAGTTCTCTCAAAGTGGCCAGGGCGCGTCTTGCTAGACGAAGCGAAATGCTTCAATTCAGTGCACATTTTGAGGAAGTACCCATACTGAACTAAAATTAAATTATCTTTGTCGACAACCACGTACTTACTGTACACCGAAATGTCGTTTTCCATATAATACAGAAGTGGGCATTAAAAGCAAATCGAAATTATCTCGCTTTGTGTTCTGAGAAGAAGTTAAACATTTTCTCGTTGTTTTACATGGATTACATAGAGAATATACACCAGCCGCTTTTTCCAGCTATGACACACGGGTTTACCTCTCATAGTTGTGTTATAGTATTGGTCGTCGGTAGTGGTGTTCCGATTAATTGAAATAATCGAAGATTGGTCGCAGTGGCCAAACGACCAAGCAATCGATCACATTTTCTCATAATCGAACACAAACGATCTTGGAACCGCTGTAATAGAGTTTGAAATACTTGATGATGGAACATATCTAGGACGTTGTCAGGGCCGGAAAACGTGTTTAATTCTTAGAAAACTCACTTCACTTTCTGAAAAGTCATGACTGAATATTTCTTGAAGGATCTGGGAAGTTTATGTTACACTGGAACTGAATCATTTTACACTGGATGTGAAATTTGCAAATGTAATTTGTGCAGTTTCTAAATAAAACAAAAAAACAACAGAGAACCAAATGTTGTTTCTTTATACTTATCTGCAACTACAACCTGAATAGGAAAATCTAAAAAATGACGCTAACCAATTTTTTTGATGATTGGTCGTTGGTATCGAACCAATCATCAATTGTGAGATTTCAACCAATTCCGACACTAGTCGTCAGTAACCCATGCTAGTCTAAGAGGCGACTAACTGGATTGGGTGGTCAGGCTCGCTGACTTAGTTGACACATGTATTCGTATCCCAATTGCGTAGATTGATGTTCATGCTGTTGAACACTGGATTGTCTGGGCCAGACACGATTATTCAGCTGGAATATTGTGCGAACACAAGTAAACTGAAGGTGAATCAAAAGTGTGGTAACCTCGTCTGTCTCAGGTCACTTGACTTGAACTAATCGAGACGACGTGGTAAGACTTGGCAAAGAAATCTGTCTGAGAGCCGTTATCATCGTAAATATGTTCACATTTTAAAAGGAAATAGCAACATTATCCATTGTGACTATTTCCAAAATCCATAGAGCTGGTAGTGACGTCACAATATGACGACCTGCAGATGACTTGTCCTTGAATGCTTCTCCGAAAACTTGTAAAGAGATATTACGTACGCTTCATTTGGATATTTTCACAACTCGATTTGATCACAATATCGTTATAGCGTTCCGTTAACCCAGTACTTTTCTTTTAATAGCATCTTTATCAAAACATCGTGATATTGTTCCGTTAACCCAGTACTTTTCTTTTAATAGCATCTGTATCAAAACATCGTGATATTGTTCCGTTAACCCAGGAGACTTCTCTAATAGCATCTCTTTGCTAGACATTCCTTTAAAATGTTAACCTAATCAAATTCTGTTCCTAAGGTTTAGCCAAGAAATAACTGTTCCGGATATATCTCTCCATTTCCACCCCCGGTTCTCTGTTGTGGTATAGAGTACTCCCATTACTCAACTGCTGCAGATTTGGAGCGGAGAATATTTATCTCGTATAAAACAGTATCCAGGGGGAGCGTTTTAGCAACTGGTATTGGAAACGTAGAAGCAGCGGCCGTGTTCATCACTTTGGAAGTAAAATGTAATGATATTTTTCTTTTTTACTCATCCTGTGAAGACACCACTGTGTATTACTCATTTCTTTAAGAGGCATTAAGAGAGTTGTGTGACGAAGAAGAACATGTTTTATTGTCAACTTCTTAATTGCTACTTCTGTACGTTTCGTTGTAGATGCTAACAGGGGAGGTGAAATTGGGTTTAATGTCGTGCTTGAGAATATTTCGCTCATATGACGATGTGCATGCGTGTGTATGTGTATGTGCAGCTGCTTGTACTAGCCCAGACTGAAGCTGGTTTTATAGTGCTAGCCCACTGAGATACCATGCCGCAGTGAAGCATGAATACCCCACTCAGACACATTATACTGACTCCGAGCCGACCAGTCCTTGTTGTACCCATTAATGCTGAGCGCCAGGCAGGGACCAACAAGTACCATATTTTAACGTCTTCTGGTATGACGCGGTCGGGGATCGAGCCGAGACCTTCCGCTCTCTGGGCGGACGCTCTAACCACTACACCACGGAGGCGGTCTGTAGATGCTAACAAGGTTATCGAGCGAATGACACACAACATTATGCACAAGGAGAATATATAACGAAGGATAAATGAGTTAATTGAGGAGGTTGTTGATGAGCAGCGACGATCGTAAACCTGTGATAAAGTATGAGAGTTTTGTTAACAATTTCAACAGTTTAATCAAATCCAGTGTTCTAGAGTACAACTACTATTCCATCGACGCTTTAGTAAAAACTGTGTTCTAAGAGCCGTCATTGGTATTTCATTGATCTGTGACACCCGAAGGTCCGGGTTAGAATATCGATCTTCAGAGATCCATGCTTGTCGTAAGAGGCGACTAACGGAATCGGGTGGTCAAGCTCGCTGACTTGGGTGAGTGAGTTGACGTTTGACGTCGTATGGGCATTGTTTCAGTGAAGTGAGTGAGTGAGTAGATCGATGTTCATGCACTTAATCACTGGATTGTCTGGTCCAGATTCGATTATTTACAGATCGACGTCATAAAACTGGGATATTGCTGAGTGCAGTGTAAACAACAAACAAAAATTGATCTGTGACTTAAACGCGTATAATGCAGAGCCTGATATTTTAATAAAATACATTTTCTCTTTCATTTTGTCTCACACAGAATCAAAGAAAATGCATATATAAACATAATTGTTGGCTTCTCCATTGTTGTTGGCTTCTCAATGGTATAAAGCGTGGCCGAGGGAGCCGCAATTCGTCAAGCAACGCAATTTCATCATTCACATTTTTAATGCAGGATATTAGAACAAAAGAACATTAAACTGAGGTGGGTTGAGTTGTGGTGAGATGATACGAGGGACCATATCTCGGTATTTCTTCTCTGAGATGACCAGTCCCTATTTTATGCCCTTAATGCCGAACGACAGGCACAGCAACAACAAATATAACCTTTTACCGCTTTTAGGTGAGATGCGGTTGGGATCGAACTTCTGACCTTTCTCTCTCCGAGCAAACACTCTATCCCCTAGTCCATGGCGACGGTGTGTTTGAAAAGTGCATTCATTTTGAACAGTAAATTTAACATTTCAATAATGTAACTATTCCTGGAATTGGGGAGGCACAAGAGGATTAAAGATGTGTGTTGTTTGGGTTCGTTAAAAAATAGCTCGATATTTTTTCCTAATTTTTCGGTAACAAAGGCTTTCGTGTGCACCGTCTGTAAAATCCATTATCTCTGCGTTTTTGCATCACCGGTAAAATAGCTGTAAAACAGTATCATTACTGGCTTAAGTTGTCACAACGCATCTGCACCAGTCTCCATTATTTGCACATTTTGTACTTGACAAATACACGATCACAAACAAAACATCAAATAGAGAAAAATCATCAGTGCCCTAAAGTAAATTACCCGTGCAACAAAACGCCAACCTGTTCGAGATAAGGGTGAGATAACTCTTGTCTAACAGGTGTTCGGTGTAGAGGTAAAAAGTTGCCCGTGTAAAAATATTTTAAATGTCCCTTGATTTGTTGTTAACTCTAGCTGTTTGACGGATGCATGCACTCTAAAATGGGGAAATATGATGTAATTTCATCATAAAATAGGTCACCATCACTGTAGAAATCATTTGATAGATGGTAGCGCTTGGCGCGATAATAAAGCGTCGCATTCATGGGGAATTGTCTATTCACTTCACCGGTGTCGCCATCTTGTTTCGATTGATGATACCGAAACAACTTTGAACCCGGTAAGGCTCATTTCCTGAAGCACCTTACAACTGATGTATGTAGTGGGTGTTCTTGCAACTCCAGGCTCCATTATTCCGATGTGCAGTGTAATTTTCTATGGATGTTACCGGTGAGAAATGTGGATTATGACCCCTTTACATGTAAGTGAGTCGAGCGTCTAAGTGTTGACTAGATATTCGCGTGCTACACTGATAAACCGCCCGAGCATCGCATTGTTTTAACCCAATCGACAGTAACTGCAAAACCAGTAACCATGTTCAGCTTTAGAAAGAAGGACAAGGAAAAGGACAAAGAGAAGAAGGAGAAGAAAGAGAAGGAGAAAAAGGAGAAGGAAAAAAAGAAGGAAGAAAAGAAAAAGGACAGACCCCAAATTACCCCGGAAGAGATGTCTAGATTAGAGGAAGTGAAGAAAGGCGTATTCCGGAGGTTCAGCGACAGAAAATCAAGTAGAAAGGAGGATAAGACCTCTCCAGATGGCATGACACCCAGTGACAGTAGTGAGAGTAATATTAGTGCAAGTGGTTCGTCTGGACGACCTAGCCCCACAAAGGAGCTACCGCCTGAGAGAAAGGTGGAGGCCTCAAGACCCCAAGTGGCGTCCAAACCCCCTGTTCTCATGCCCAAACCTAGAATGAAAGGAATTTTAAAAGAATCTGCTAAATTTTATGAAGCAGGGACGGAAGGAAATTTAGATGATGCTAAGATGTTGCAGGAAAACACTAGACGAAATGAAGAAATGTCTGGTTTAGTGGATGAGATTGATGCAAAATTAAAACAGAAACTTCAAGGGTCGCCAGGCAAACCTAAACCCAAGCCTCGTCGAAGTGTTGAGAGTGAACAGTTTGTTGTTGAGGAACTGCCTCCGGAATTACCAATGCCGGGAGAGAAGGAGTTCCAAGATTTGAAATTACCTGCAATTATTCCACCAAAACCAGCACGCACACGCAACATCACGGTAAAAAGAACAACTGCAGGAGATTTTGGTTTCAGTCTACGTAGGGGGACCATTCCTGACAAAGGGGATGGTGATGCTGCTCGAACTGTGATATTTGCTGAGCCAGGAAGCGGACCTCGGAGTATGCAAACAGGTTTGATTCCAGGAGACCGGCTTGTGGAAGTTAATGATTTAAATGTGGAGGGATGCTCAAGAGAAGAAATTGTTGAAATCATCAAAAAAGCTGATGATTCTTTAATTTTGAAAGTACAACCGATTCCAGAACTGATAGAGCTTAGTGTTCGTCCTGGAAAAGATGGTGGAACTATTGACGTACAAGATCAGGTGGTGAAAGGTGGGACTCTGAAGAGAAGCGGCAGTATTCGTTATAAGAAGGGGGTGAGTAAACATCTTAAAAGACTTCAGTTTTTATATTTTTAGTTTCTAAATCAAAACAGTTCTCATTCTGTCATTGCTGTCTCATCATCACATTCTTACTTACCATGCTGACCCAGTGTTGAATGTATTGATATTGATCGGGTTTTTTGCTGACTATTAGAATAGAAATCAAGGGCCAGTTTCACAAGTTCATCCTAAATGCTTGTTGCAGTCTATAGTCCTTGATAATATATAGCAATGGTGACTGTGAAACTGGACTTAGATGGACACAGATAAACTTCCTGTTAAGACAAGATTGTTGTGTTTCAGTTATGCATATTTTATCAGGATTGTCATAATTATTATCAATATCAGCTGATGTAATGAAACGTGTAACCTGAATAGGGTCAAGGTCCATCATGACAATGGTGCAAAGAGTGGTAATCAAGATGAAGGTAAACAACACCACATCTCTCTCACGTGTCGTCAACCCGAAGACCCGGGTTTGATTCCCCACATGGGTACAATGTGTAAAGCCCATTTCTGGTGTCCCTCGCTGTGACGTTGCTAGAATATTGTTAAAAGCGGCGTAACACCATACTCACTCACTCACACGTGTATCTATGTGAGTCACAGAAAGAGAAAGAGAGACAGATATTATTGAATGGTATAATTGAAAAGCATACAAGCATACAGTCCCATTAACTTTCAACACATTGTTAGTGAAGATTTTGGTGAACGAGGAAAACTCTTCCCAAAACAGGGCTGCTTTAAAGAAACAAGGAAGATTATCTTCAGTTTGATCTCGGTCTGTTAAGCGCAGTTAGTTGTCAAGCTGTCAATCACATATTACGTCAAGCATCCATCAGGTGATCTAAATGACGACAGCAGTGACCTGATACTGCTTTACAACTTGCTCCAGATACAACAACAGTGATGCAACGGCATCTCTTTTTAAGGGCCTCAGGGCATCCTATTGTTAAAATAGGAGGCCTTAGAAATTGTAAGGATTTTCAATTTTCTATGCTGTTTATTGCTATTGAACAGTGAGATTACTGGTATACAGGGAAATTTGTATTGAACACCTGAAGATTTCAGATTGAGGTGTTCCTTTGAAGTGTCAGTTTTGAATGATGCAACTTGGCGTTGACCTCCATAGATACGCTGCACGAAAGCATAATTGTAAAGTTAACCAGTGCAAAAATTGAGATTCTTGAAGAAGGGACAAGAAGTAGCCCAGAAAGGTCGTGTTATACAATACAGAAGAAGTTGTCATCCATATACTCGTCTTATATAGTGCAAAAATTGTTGGATCTCTCATCTATTAGATAAATACTCTGTTGAAACTCACAGGGTTAAAATGAAATGACTTTTGATGGCGTTCTCTGCTTCGCTTATTGTTATAATATATTAATAGTGATGCATCCTGCTCCGAGTTCAGATGTTTCTTGTGACATATACACTTATCTGTACAGTCAACTGATTGTTATGGTACAGGCATTTGCCCACACTAAAATGAACCTTGCATTATCTTCATTACAATGAAGACAGGAGGCCATTGTAACAAAAGCAGGACAATATTTTGATGGCTAAAACTTCATGTATGAGTGACTTGAAGTTTGTGGCTAGAATACAAAAGTCTACTTTACATGACATTGGTAAGGATTGACACATGTCATTGTATCCCAGTTGCGTAGATTGATGCTCATGATGTTGATCACAGGATTGTCTGGTCCATACTGGATTGTTCACAAGCAGCTGCCTTCATAGCTGGAATATATCAGAGTATGATGTTAAACAACTAACATTTGTTGTTCCCAGTGTGAATGAGTTGTTTTGATATTCAGTTGTCACGTTTAATCATATAAAACCATTCAAATTCAGGCAGTGTCCTCCTTTTTTGTGCTTCATTGTTCTGTTTTGAAAACAGTCCTCCAGTCACCTGTTGCTATAACAGCAGCATTAAAGCACATGGTGGATAGGTTTGAGCTGCTCCGTGAGTAAAATAATGCTGACCCGCGTGAAGGTCCGGTTTAAAATATTGATCTTCAGTAACCCATGCTTGTCGTAAGAGGCGACTAACGGGATCGGGTGGTCAGGCTCGCTGACTTGGTTGACACATGTCATCGGTTCCCAATTGCGCAGATCGATGCTCATGCTGTTGTTCACTGGATTGTCTGGTCCAGACTCGATTATATACAGACGACCGCCATATGGCTGAAATATTGCTGAGTGCGGCATAAAAATATACTCACTCACTCTGTAGTCCTACTGATGTAGTATACACTACAGGATATTTTGACAGCATTAAACTACAAACAAACACACAATGCCTGTAGACCTTTTACACCCACACCACACATGATGGCGGAGTAGCCGGTTTGTTATGACTAACGCAGGGTAATCGTTGTAATAGGTGTAAATGTCGAAGGTCGTATGAGTTCTGTGTGTTTAGCCGGCATATTTTGGTTTCCTCGTGTAGTGGTGTGTGCAGTTGGTTATGATTGCCACATCAAGCAGAAAATGTTAATGCCACGACTTACGAAGGCCAGAGGGTATTTCTGAATGTTTGGTAATAAGGGTCGTTATGTATTTCTGTTCACAGAGCTATTGTTAAACATGTACATGGTGGTGACAGGTAGTGGATAGAAATGACAGTCACACAGTAGCTGTATTTGACATGCGCAATGAATTGTTACACAGTGGTAGAAATATATGCAATGAAAGTCACAGGCTTCTCTGCAGTTTGTTTTTACCTGCTGAGAGGTTTATATTCGGCCTCAAATCTGAAGCAATAAATTCCCAAAATAGTTTTTAAAACTTTCCTAATTCTTGTATGTGTATATATAGATATATCTTGTATTTCACTGATAAGAGAACAGGGGTGGAAATAACTTTAAAATTGCTAGTGTACTCCGGTACAGTGGCACATGTAAAATCTCTTGCCCTGATACTTTTTCCACTATACCAGCTGTTTTCTTGTTGATTTTTTACATAAACAACATAATTAACATTGGAAAGTCAACTGGACACTGGTACAGTGTGATATACAAATTTGCTTGCCCGACAGAAAAAAACACTGGACTCGGGCGTTGGGCAATGGGTTATTTCCACCCCTGGAGAACCTATAAAGATAATAATAATCATAATACAAAAAGGGTTTAATACTATATAATAGCTGGTGTAATTTAAAACATAATTTTCAGTGTCTTAAGCCTAAGGTGATAGTTTCCTGTTTATATTAAATATGCTACTGAAAAGAAGTTACCACCAAATATTTTCATATTAGTTTAGTTTATCATACCATGAAGGGTTATAGTAATATGAAAGAATCAGAGTGTCCTTAACTTTATTTGAGTCATATAATGTTGTTTTGTAACTTGATGCTTATTGTTATTGTAGCTGTTATTGATTTAGAAACAAATATTTGAACGAAAAAATAGATTGATAATGTAACTTGTAAGTACTTAATTCTGTAGAATGAGTGAGTTTAGTTTTACACCGCTTTTAGCAATATTCCAGCAATATCACGGCATGGGACACCAGAAATGGGCTTCACACATTGTACCCATGTGTGGAATCGAACCTGGACCTTAGGCGTGACGAGCGAACCCTTTACCTCTAGGCTACCCCACTGCCCCTAATTCTGTAGATGTTGGGTTGATGATGTTGGCTCTGAAAACAACATCATGTCTGCTTTGCTGGCACGTTTAGTGACTCACTCACTCATTCATTCCTTTTGACCTAACTGAGTGTGATAATTACGGTATGAGTCACTCCACTTTGATGGAGAGTAATAATTAAGTTGATTTTCCCAGCAGATGGAGCGTGAGCCGACATTTTCAAATATGATTTCTATGATTTATCCAGTCGCATATTCGGCCAAACATCTGCAGTGGGGAAAAGTCCCAATATTGAATTCAAATAATCCAATTGAGGTTCTGATGCATTTTAATTAACATGTTATTGATTTGCTAATGTGTAAATTAAATATGGTGTAATTTTAATGTTAGAATGGGTCTGATTGTAAGAATATAGAAGCTTACTTTCGGACCATCACTTGGAATCCTCCCACATCCAGGCTAACTAGTAACATTTTAGTCCTTGAAAATTATATAGTTTTGATCAAAACAAACAACTTTGTTTGGTAAGGAGTCCAAGCGAGCCTGGAGATTTAGAGTTGAACCTGTTAAAAAACTTGTTTAATTTACGGGGGGTGGGGGGTTGGGGAGCCTAGTGGTTAAAGCGTTCGCTCGTCACGCTGAAGACGTACGTTCGATTCCCCACATTGGTACAATGTGTGAAGGCCATTTCTGGTGTCCCCCGCCATGATATTGCTGGAATATTGTTAATAGTGGCGTAAACCTAAACTCACACTCTCTAATTTAAGGCTGGGAGGAAGGGAACGTACTTTTGTTCGGTTGTTGGGGGATGGACTTATGCCAGCTTGTGAAAGGGTTACCCTCTTAGGTGATTGGACAACTGGCCTGACCTTGGATCAGAAAGTCTGTGGTTTAGATCTGTTCATGGAACTTGGACACTCTATGCTAAAGTCTATATATTCTTGGGGCGGAGGGGTAGTCTAGTGGTTAAGGCGTTGGCTCGTCACGCCGAAGACCCGGGTTTGAATCCCCACATGGGTACAGTGAGTGAAGCCCATTTCAGGTGTCCTCCGCCCTGATATTGCTGGAATATTGCTAAAAGCTGGGTAAAACCAAACTCAGTCAGTCAGTCAGCTATATATTCTTCATCTCATTATTTCATGGAGAGCAAGAATTCACTCTCTACTGAATGTACATTTTAGTATGTATAACTGATATAACTATAGATAGTTGTGCAAAATCATAAACTAGGTCAGAGAAGGTGCTACGAACAGCCGATATAAGGGTCTTGGTTGGAAATTGGTCCCTAGCAACACATGCTTGTTTAAACAGAGATGACTCAACAGGGTTGCTATTGTTGACTTAGTACATGCATGTCATTGTATCTATTCATTTTCAAAACTTGACGTTCATGATGTC